GTGCTGCAGCCCTCAGGAGCTGGCAGGAGGCTGCAAGGGTGCCAGAGGAGATGAGCCTGCCCAGGGTGACTGTTCGATGGCAAAGCCGCACGTTGCAGTGCCCTCTTCCCCTCGCTTGGATCTGTTCCCTCAGGACCACAGTCCTGGATCGCAGCTCCAAGAGAAACTTCACATGGCAAAAGATTTTGGACCTGCTGCCCTCATGGACACGACCTGGACCTCTAGTGTGTCCCCACACACCATGGCAATGGCAGGAGAGCTCTCCTCACACTTGGTCCCGCTGTGCTGACTGCAGGCACTGCTGCCTTGGCTCCTGGAGAAAACTCAGGCCCTTCCCAAAGAAGAGCACAAGGAGAGAGGAGGAGTGATCCCACTGCTGAAGCAAAGAGCCGGGGGCACAGGCTAGAGGAGCTGCTGGAGGCTCAGAATAACCTCACTGGACACACCACACTCTTCCCACAGCAAAAGGGAGCCAGGGATTATGGTGCACATTGAACTTCCCTGCAGCCATCACCTCAGGGCTGTCGGGCTCTGGCTCCATCCCCTGGCTTACCCCATACTCCTCCCAGCCCTGGCTCCCTGACAGGCTCCCGCCAGCGCGAGCAGGTTGCGGCACCGCTGCCGCTTCCCGCGGCTCCCACCGTTACTCAGCAGCCGAGGGAACTGCTCAGAGCTGCAAGGTCACTCAAAAACACCATCTGTCCAAGCACCACTCCTCGCCTTGGGGAGAGCAGCAGAGAAAATATTCCGATGTGCTGGAGGCCATTGTCCCCCTCTCTGCTGCCCCTCTGTGTGGCAGCACCTCGCGGTGCTCACTCGGCCTTGGCTCAGCGAGGGGGAAACCACAGCATCAGTGTCTGGGGGAACACCCCAAAGGCTGGGGCAGCCCCCCACACCCTCCACACCATGAGGGCACCCGAGGCTCCAGGAGTCGATGGGGAACCCTCTGAGTGCTTGTCACGGGGTGATGTGTTTGGTGTTGAGGAGAGACCTCTTGTGCTGGCCAGAGCCACTGCCAGCTCCCTGACCCCTGGCTGGCAGCCTCTCCAGTGCCATGGAGGGGGGGCAACGGGGGTGCAGTGCTGGGAGCAATAGTGGGGGTGCAGCTTACCTTGCAGGGGGGCAACAAGCCACGGGAGCACCCCAACACTCCCAGAAATTGCCAGCTCCAGGTCCCCTCTCCCAGCACTGCCTGGGGACTATTTCTGGTGAGCTGAAGTCACTTGCACTTGGGCTCTGAAGTCACATTCGTCTCCTCTTGTGCTACTTCTCCTGCACCTCAAAGTGTCACAACACAGTGCTATCTCTGTCGAGGTGGTTGGCCCCTCGTGCCGTGCCCCAGATGCTCCTGTGTCACTGCTTGCAGCCAGGACAGCACAGCACAGCACAGCACAGGGCTGCCAGCGCTGGCTGGGTGCACCGAGGGACTCACACCTGGCCCCAACAGTAAATAAATGTTTCATTTGAGCTCATTTACAAACACAGCCCTGTGGAGCACACCCAGGGCTTGGTGGAACATCCCTCTACTCAGGGCAGGGGCAGTGCCTGGCTGTGCCCCTCATCCGTGGGCATCCCAGCAGCTACTTCCCACACGCATCAACCCCCCCATGGCTCCATCCCACCTCTGTGTGGCCCCCAGCTGTGGTGCTGATGGCAGAGGTGGGCACTGCCCCCAGGGCTGCCCCACAGTGGGGTTCCCTGCACCCCAGTGGCCCTAGGACCCTTAGCCAGGCTGGCCCCGTGGCCCCGCAGTGAGTCCTGCTGTGCACAAGATCCCTTCCATATGGGAGCAGCCAGTGGAACTGCCAGCTCCCAGCTCCAGCACTTGCCTCTACATCTGGAAACTCTTCTCACCCTTAATTGTTCCTAATGCCTTAACACGCAGAGTGACTAATAAGACACTAATTGGGCAGCGTTAGCAGTGAGTGGAGCAGGAGCACGCTGGCAGTGCCCTCCATGCTGAGCCACCAGCTCCCAGCACTGCGCTGCCAGTGCCATAAATCCCCACAAACCCCAGTGCCTTTCCCTGCTCGGCCTTCTGGGTGCAGCGGGAAACCCGCCCCAGCAGCAGGGAGCACGAAATGCCACCTCTTTTAGCTCCATCTCATGGTCCCTGTGCCCCAGGAGCCGGTGGAGGGAGGGCACAAGGCCCCCCCACCCAGCAGGGATGGCCCACAAACTGTCACCCCTTGAGCAGAAAGGAACCAAGGTGCCCAAGGCCCCATCGCTCCCCATCGCTGGCACTGCTCGGGGCTGCTGAGCCCTCATGCCACTGTGCTGCCTCTGGTCACATACGGGCACTGCCACGATGGGCTTGTGCCTGGCACTGCCCACACTGAGCCCAGGCGAGAAGACAAGTGATGAGCAGCGGCGGGAATGCACCTGCTCCAGGTGACTTAGGGCATCTGGGGAGCCGGGGTAGGAAACGGCTGCACTGGGGACCCTCCCGTGCCCCAGACAGACAGGGGTGACAGCCCCCCACTGCTGGGGCTGCCCGCTCTCCCTGGGAGCTCCCACGGGGCTGCCAGCCCTGCCTGCACATCCACTGGCAGCGCCACGCTCACCAGAGCTGCTCGACAGTGGGAAAGAGGCACAAATCTTGTTACACACTGGCTAAGCCTCCCTGGGCATGTTTTCTATAAATCTCCTGGAATTTATTATATGATAACTAGCCTGGAAAAGCTAAATTAAATCCACAGCCAAGAAACTGACTTTCAAGTGTGACCTAATTTAGTTGCTGGAAGGGGAGGGATGGAGCGGGGATCCCGGTGCCAGTCGTTCCCGGGATGACCTCCCGGTGCAGCCGCACACCCCCGTCCTCCTCCTCACCGTGACTTTGGGGACGGAGCTGTGCAGCCTTTCATGTCTGAGCGGATCTCACACTCCCACTCTCTAGAACAAAAGCGCCTCAAGGGCTCCCCTGTCAGATGTTTTCCATTGCTCATCTCCAAGTCTTCCTTGAAGGAGCACTCTCCTCCCGGGGGGTGCTCTGGCAGGTTTGGGAATGATGGGGAGAGTCGCCGCAGGGACTCTGCATTGGCATGTTCCTCCCTGCTCTGGGCTGCTCCTCACCAGCCCAGTGAGCCCAAACTTGCCACCAGCACCCACACAGTCCATGGCCAGCAGCCACACACAGAGGCCAGCAACGGGGATGGCTCCTGGGAGAGAGGGGGAAAGCAGCAGGGAGAAAACCTGGATGGGGAAGAGACTTGGTGGCTTGAGCTCGAGTGAGCCCAGAGCAGGTCCTGGCACCAATGGCTGCACCAGCCCCACAGATGAGGCACATCCCCCAGGACGGGCACATCCCTCCCAACGCAGGAGCAAAACATGCACCATGGCTGGGGTGACAGCCCCCCCAAAAAACAGCACAGCCCCAGCCCCAAGAGCCAGACACGCCCCAGTACAGCCCAAAGTCCTGGGAGGAGCTCCCAGCACTCCCACTTCAGCCAGGGTGCTTACGATGGGCAGCTCCTGCACACCACGGAGCTGTGGGGCCGGGCAGGACCGTGCACACCCTCACCCCAAACCTACCCGACCATGGGGCTGCTGGCTCTGGGCAGGAGCAGGTGGCAGGATGCAGGAGCATGGTGCGGGTGGCGCGGGCAGGGCCCACAGTGAGGGCAACGTGGGCAGAGTGGCACCGTGGTGCTCTGGCAGACCCGGGGGTGGGCTCAGGGCTGGCACGCGGGCGCGTGCTGTTGTTCTGGAACGGAGTGCACTGGCAGAGCTGCATGTGGGAAGCTTGCATAATAGTGCCAGCCCACACTACGCCTGCTCCTTCCCAGCATGATCAGCCCCTTGCTTTCATGAGCAATAACATCCACCCAAAGTTTTCTAAAAGACAAAAAAAAGAGCTTCAAGGTGATGCACAGAGCTCAGCTGCCTTTGCTGCCTCTGAACTGATGACTGCAGCTGGGGAATCCATCTGCACAGCCTCTCTAATCCCTGCTCGGGACGACCTGTGCCCCAGAGTGACGAGGAGCCTCAAACTCTCACTCCCATTTCACGATTCCCGAGCAGGCACTTGGGGCTGGGGCACAGTGGAGGAGCCGGTGTGCGGCGAGCGGCACTGCAAGGGGGGCACACACAACCCCCCCTCACTGGAGCCAGACAGTGATGCACAGCTCCACGGGCACTCCCACCTGCCCGGGCACTGCCCTCGGCTCATGCCAGGGGGAAAAGAGCAGTCCCAGCTCTGGGGGTCCCCTCAGTGCAGCAGTCGGTGGGGAGGGCACTGGAAGACACATGCAGCGGCAGAACAACCCCAAGCAGAGCCCAGTCCCTGGTCATTGCAGCTGCCACAGCGCTGCTGTGACCCCTCTGAGCGCCTGCTGTGCCCCTGGGTACTCGCAGCGCTGGGAGGATGCCTCATCTGGAGGAGAGAATCCTACTGCCTTCGAGAAGTTTAAATTTTAACTCCTCCTCAAGCTGGTGCGAGCTCCCAGTGCGGGCTGGTGTCAGCGCGAGGGGGGTTCCAGTCCCTGTAACATGAACTGACGGGGACGGGTTCAGCCCAGAGCACGCGGAGCCGCGCACGCAGCCCCGAGGGGGGTTTGCAGCACGGTCGGTGCCAGAAGCCGGTTCTTGGCGGGTCCAGCCAGGCTGCGACGTGCAGGGCTGTGCGTGCACTGTGGTCACACGCTCCCCTGCCCGTGCTGGGGGACCACCGAGGTCCCACACGCTCTGGGACCTCCATGCTCCTGCAGTGAGCAGGAGGGAGATGGCTGGGACTGATCCCTAGGCAGGACCAGACCCCTTCACCCCACATCCCACGAGGACCAAAGCAGGCATGCCTTCTCCTTGTGATGCTTCCCTTTTCCAGGTCATCGCACAAGAGTCTGGACCCACAGGATCTGTACCCACAGGATCTGCAAAGCACCTGGTGGGCTGATTGCAGGCTGTTGCCCCAGGCACAGCCGTGGGAAGCAGCAGCTTCATCCTCAACCAGAAAACACCTCCATGCCCTCCCCTACATGGACTGCTGGGTGGGAACAACGTACCTGAAGACCAAGAGCAGGTGCCTCAGGCGCAGTGGCAGGCAGGAGCTCACACTCGTGTTCGCCCCTCGGAGCCGTCAGGAAGAGCCGTCGGGGTCTCACAGCAGCAGCTTCTCAGCCTGAAAGAGAGAGGGAGAGGCTCCAGTCCCGTCTCTGTGTAGGCACCACCACTAATAACGGAGGAGGACGTGGCAGAGCTCGGCGCCTCAGAACACCAGAGCTCCAGGGACTCACACACGCTTGGCCCACTCCTTCAAACAGCACAGTTATCTCATGGCTGGGGGGCAGCTCTGGAGCAGCCCCTTACATGTGCAGAGGCAGGACCCTGCCCACTGGTAAAGCCCCCCAGGAGGGGGAAGCATGGCCCTGGAGAATGGAGTTGGGCCACACAGGGCGCACGGGAAGTCCCCAGCTCAGGATCCCCAGCGGGACACATCCCAGTCTCTGCACTGATGCAGGATGCTGAGGCTGGTCCTGCCTCCCCAAAAGCACCAGCCCTAGCCTCAGATGAGCACCTGGGATGGAGATAAGGAAAGGTAAATACTTCCTAAGGGAAAAAACACCTGTTCCCCCAAAGGCTCCCCAGAGGCTGCCCACAGCCCCACATGTAGTTTTCTCCAACCCAGGTTGAAGAGGAGACAGTTTAACAGCTTGTCCCCTATTTTAATGGGACTTTTTCCCTGTTCCCCTGGATAGCCCATCCTTCCCAGCACAGAGTAGTGACGTCCCCCCCGCACTTCAGCCAGGCAGCCCCCCTGCCTGCCTGAGTTATGACGCCTGCACCGTGCAGCGGGATGGGCTCGGAGCACTGGGAGCTGAGATTTATCCCCTCAGCAGAACAGGGGCAGAGGCCAGGAGATAAGTCACAGCAGAGCTGCGGGAGCGGCGCTCAAGGTCCTCCAAGGTTGGCTCATTAAAAACAGAGGAGAAGACGAAGGAAAAATCTGCCCGCAGTGGTGTGGCTGCAAATCCCCCCCCGCTGCCAAACCAGCCGTGGCCAAGAGGGAGGTGGGAAGGGAGTCAGGACCCCCAGGCCATCTCTGCAGCAATCCCCAGGGCAGCCTACTGGCCTGGACCCTGTGAAGCCACCAGTGTCCCCCGAACACCATCCCAGCACATCTCAATAACCACAGCAGCACAGGGCCTGGACAAGGATATGCTTCCCAGCAGCACAGGAGCAGAGAGCCAGTAAGGAGCCAAGGGTAACTCACAGAGCTGTTCAGATGCTGGCCCCAGGACCAGCTGGAGCTGCACACACTGGGACCAGCACCAGCAGTCACCCAGCATGCCAAACCCACTGCTCGGAGCGGGCACCATCCCCACGACAGGCACTATAACCAGTTTGGGGACAGACCAAAGAAAACCCACAGAGATGCAGTGAACATCACAGGCACTCCCCAGCCTCCCCAAACTTGCTGGAATTCCCCTCCTGTCTCATTAGTCCTGCTCATTAAGGTCTGCTCCTGATCAGCAGGCAGAGCTAGAGCTCAGTGCAGCATCATGTTCACCAGCCCCTCCATCCCAACCCCTTTAATGCTGGTCTGTCACAGCTGGTCCCCTAAGGCCCTCCTGGTGTCCCCAACTCCCCTGTTGGTTGTCCCCTAATATCCCCTTGGCTGTCCCCTCCAGCAGACACTGCCACCAGCCTCTCTTCCCTCTGCCCTGGGTGGTTTGTGTGTGACCAGGAAGCGCAGCTGATCCAGGGGCTCGGTGGGGACTCACCCCGTGGGGTTTGCCCAAGACTGAGCCACCCATGCACGTGCAGCGAGCGCAGGACATGATAAACACTGGGAAAATCCAACAGCATCCCTGAAACAAGCTGAGCACAGCAGGATTTTTTTCAGCACCTTCTATTTTCAAAAGCAAACCCACGTGTGGGATGGGGATGGGGATGGCGTGTTCCCCACTGGTGTCGGGGGCCCAGCAGCATCCCTCACCTGCCAACAGCATCCCTCACCATTGGCAGCATCCCTGCAGCAGCTCCCTGCAGGGAAAGCGATCCAGCCCCAGGAGGGATGGGAAAGTAGATTGCAGATCCCCATGGGGCATCTCCCCCAGGAGCCACTGGGCTTTTACTACACACTAAACAACAGCGATTAGATCGACAAGCCAACCCCTGGAAGGCTGAGTGGTTTTATCAAAGCCAGCAGCACCCCAGGGAGGAGATGGAGAGATGATGCAGCTGCCCGCAGCATCTGCAATCCCAAGGCCAGCCCGGCGGCTGCTGCAGGGGGGGCAGGACCAGGGCTGTACCTGCTCATTTTTGGGAGGCTGAGCCCCAGCCACTGCCCCTGCCCTCCCATGAGGACGGTGGTCCCTGGTCCCAGCCCAGCACATTCTGCCAGACCCCACCATGGCAATGGGGTGGCACAGAAATGCCCCTCAGCAGGGCAGGGCTGGGGGTGCAGCGGGGGCCTGGGGGGCCCACAGTGGTTTTCCCTGGATTGCAGAGGAGGGGGGAGAGGAATTTTCTTTCAGCAGCAAACTCACTGAAGCAGTACTTGGTGCCTGTGCAGCCTGAGATACAGCTCCTGCTCCAGCCCAACCAGGAGCTATTTCCCACTTATCTCTGCCGTGGCTGATATCTGTGCAGCAGAACACGGCACTTGGTAATAGGATTTTGATGCTAAACAGAAGATGTTTTTTCCCTGGGTCTCACTTACGTCACACCTGGAGGTATCCATGGCCATGGAGGTGACACAGAGGAAGGCTAAAGAGTTTCAACTCTTGCGCTGAGGGAGCAGCTTCTCCTTTAGCTGCAAAACAGCAGAATTTCAGTGATCTAATATTAGCTGCCCGCGTTGTGCCCCCATCCCAGCTCAGCCGTGGGAAGAGGAGGGAGGAGAGCACGGCCCCGCTACTGCAGCCCAGCTGATCCCCCTGGGGATGTGCCTGCACCCCATGGGCATCATCCACTCCCCGTGGGCATCACCCACTCCCAGTGCTTCCCCAGCCCTGGGCACTGCTGTCAACTGCATCCCGTGCCACGGGGACCACCCACACATCACAGCAGCAGCAGCACGAAGCCAGGTTTGGGTGGTGCAGCCGCGCTCACAGCTGCCTCGGGGAAAGGGGAGGAAGGCTTGTCACCTCCCTGCTACCCTCCTCCCCATCTGAGTGAAAGGAAGGTCCCACGCACCCCTGGCTGCTGAAGACTGGGAAAGTCTCTGCCTGCCACAGACAAAACTGAAGCGATGGGAACCACCCCCGCTGGGCGCAGGTGACATCTCACCCGTGGGAACGCTGCCGGCGCGGCGTCAGGGCTGTCACCACGGCGTCAGGGCTGTCACTGCTCCACGGCACAAACTGGGGGACGAAGGGCACCGGCAGAAAAGCCACAGGCTGGTGGTGGGGGAGAGTCTGGCCGAGGCCAAGGTCAGTGTGTCGGGCCAGACTCCAGCACGCTTGGCCAGGCTGACCACAGCTGTGCCAAGAGGTGCTCACGGGGCACACGGTGACTGTGGGGTCCCACACTGACCATGGAGTGCACACTGACCACAGGGTCCCACACTGACCATGGAGTGCACTGACCACAGGGTCCCACACCACCACAGCGAGCAGCTCCAGCCCCAGCAGTGACAGTGCCCAGGCCAGCCCTGCTCCAGCCGACCTGAGGAGCACCCCAGCACCACAGGGAAGGAAGCACAGCACGTGCAGGCAACTACAGCACTGGCACGGCCATGCCACCACTGACCCCATCCCACAGGGACTGTGTGTGGGCAGCATATGCCCCAGAGCCAGGGCAACACGGGCAGCCCCCGCAGCAGGGACAGGGGTGCCAGTAGCCAGGCCAGCCCCTCCTGTGGGGACAGGGATGCCAGGAGCTGGTCGCAGTCTGTTTTCCTGCACAAGTGCATTAAGCATTCCACACAGCACTTTTGCTGTAAATCACTTCCTATTCAGGCTCACTGCTGAGGGTCTCTGAAGGTCGATTTTCCATGGTTATGACAACAAAAACTAAAATTGGGTCAAACCTGAAAGGTATTATCTTCCTCCAAGCTGCTAAATGCACAATAGTAATGAGGTTGGTTAAGCAGTTCACCCCCAGCCCGCATTATTTGCTCTGAAGATGTATTAACCAGTTAAATGAGCGTGATAAGGCAGCTCTGCTCGTTCCTCCCACCAGCCGCACGGCAGATCTGAGGTTCTGGGTCTCTGCATCCTGGCTAATAACCGAGACCACAGCCCCGACGACAAAGGCGGCCGCGCCGCAGCGCTCCGGGCCAGGCTGTGCCCGGCCTGACCCGCGGGAACACAAAGGCAACTTTAAAGGCATCCAGCGGCTCAGAGCCATTGGAAAAAATAATTATCCTTCCTCCTCCCCTTTCTCTTTCTTCTTCTTAATGCTCTCCCCCATCCAACCTCCTGATGAAAGAAGGAACCCGCCAGCCGCCCCAGCAGAGGCGGTTCAGCAGCATCCCTGCGCCAGGATGGGGGATTATCCCTGGCAAACACATGCGGCTGACCCGGCTGCCACTGCTGGGCATGGGACCAGGGGGGCAAAACCCACCCAACCACCTTGTAAGCATTGGAGGTCACCTCACAATGGTACCCAGAAGATGCTGCGTGGCCAGGGCAGAGCTCTCCGTACGGACCTGCTGTAGGGGGTGCGGGGCTAAGGCTGCCTAGGGCACCCACCTTGGGAATCCCCACCCCAGCTGGGCTGTGGGGCTGGTTGTGGGACACGGAAAACATTTGTTTTTACAGGATTTCTGCTGTTTTTCCTAAAACACCCATTAATTTAAATATAACTGATGTAAACAAGCACGACCCTAAAATCCATGTGCAGCTGTATGGAACCGGGGAGAGGGAAGGAGGGAGGGGAAACACTTTAATTAATCCCTAAAATGAATGAGATGGGAAAACTTGAACTGCAGGGAAAGTATCTGGTGCTGCTGCAGGAAGGGGCTGCCCAGGACGTGGGGTCGTGCTCTGCTGTGTGACACTGCTGGAGCTGCCACACCAGCCATGTCACAGCACCAGCCCACAGGTGGAAGAGTCACACCACATCCACAGCACCCAGGGAGGGGAGACCACAGTGGTGCCAGTCCCACGTGCCACAGCCTCAAAGCCCTGAGCTGGACACATCTGACTGGCTCTCCCCTCGTGAGCTGCTGCG